GACCTTGCTAATGATTGCAACAGCAACGATTTACCCATCCATTATGTTCCTAAAGTCAATGACAAAGTAGACTTTGATAAAAAGTTGGATAGTGATGTCAAAATCACTGAAACTGATGATAAACCGCTGAGAATTGAGGGATTGGGCAAAGAAATATTTCCAGGTCTGCTATCTTGTTCGGAGGCTGAGTCTATAAGCACTGATGGAACTGGTCTGGTTGCTTCAAGAGATGATTCAGATTGGATGTTATGCTACAAGAATACATTATTTGAAGATTAAGATTAAACTTTGTCGTCCGTTCATTCCCGTGAGAGCTAGACTAACATGCTAAAAGTTGGTCTTTAGGAGTTGACCTCTGCCTGTACTCATAAAAGTTGTGTTTGACTTTCCACTGGTATTTTAGATCTCTAGTGTTGAATGTAATGTATTACCTCCGGTTATTAATATAAAAATTAGTTTGATATTTAATTGGGTTCTAAATATAAAACCCCAATTCAAGTTATTTCTCATATTTATTCATTTTTTTGTAGGATAATTTTTGTAATAGTTGCATACTTGCATATGTTAAATGTTTTATTAAATGAAAGTTCTAATTAATATACATGATTCGCAAGTATATCTTAGGAAAGATAACAACTATTACTTTCGGTTTTAATTATAAGACTTTGTTTATAGATTACAAATAAGATCTTATAATTAAAACTGGAGGTAGTATGTAGTATAAATAACTAACTTAATTAATTTGTTTAATCTATTAAATTAGTCAACTAGTTTTTATATTAAAGACTAGAGGTAGTATTTACAATAAGGTTATCTCGAGTCTGATCATTGAAAGGGAGAATGTTAGAGTGGTAGTTGAGAAAATAAGGGCAAAACATTCAACAAAATATTCAACTTGCACTTGAATATGGGAGGCTTAGCTAAACAAAAAATTCATGCGAGACTTTGTTATCAACAGGAAGAATGACAATTTCCAAATTGCGTACCAAACATAAGCATTTTAAATTTCTTATAACACGATATGTGATATAATCTTATTTTATATTAAAGATCATAAAATTCCAATGAAATGCTGCAAGTCTGTTTGCCAATTTGGCAACACTCTGTTCCAGTTTCACCCAATATCTGATTTCTATGGTATAATGGACAGGATTCTTCCAGTTTGGCAAAACTCTGCAAGTCTGTTGAAGGCACAAATTCATGTCACAGATGCCGGGATGGGATGTATGTAAATTCTAATTCTAAAAGAAGAAAACTTGACCCAAAACTAGGGATTATTCAGTCACAAAAAGGGTCGAGGGAGCCGAGTTAAGCAAAAAGCCATTGAGTAAGAGGCGGCAAGGAAAATCTCAAACCAATAAAAAGGTCCCGTCAAGTATACCTCTTCGCTGTTCAGCCAGGAAGGCCAAATGCTTGCATGTGCAAAAGAAAAGGAATGTGGGACCTAAAAAAAGCAAAGAAAAGTAAATCAAAGAAGGGGGCATCTAGGAAGCCCAAGGAAACAACTTCTCATTCTAAGACAGCGGTAACTTCTGAGCGTAAGCAAAGAACTCATGTGGGTAACAGTTACTGGCTTAATGGTCTTAGGTTGTCCACAAAGCCAAGTGATGAACGAGTAATGCTGATTAAGGAGAAAAAAGCATCTTGGCCCCTCAGAAGGTTTTTCTAGCACCTTTGATCGACCTAAATGCCGTCTTTGTTGTGGAGATGGGTGCACATTGAATTATATTGCTTGTGAAATCTGTGGAGTGAAATGATAGAACATCCATGAAAGGTCGTATTATCATAATTACACCTGAATTTTATGATGACAAGCATTTACTGGTACTTAATGCCTTATCTTATGCTAGGTTTTTTGACAAAAAGAATATTTATTAGCGGTCAACTGTTTGTAATCTTTTCTTGGAATAATTTTCTTGTGAACAATTTTCACATCCTGGCTCTGTTAATGAATTAGAATGGCTAGCCGCTTGTAGTTGATTGGTATAACTAGTTAGACCAGTGGTATAAAATGATTATAAAAATGAATATTAACTACTTTTGAACCATAATTTTGGATGATTTGGTCTTTTCCTTCATTAATAATATGACTGAATTGTTTTGTTAGGATTCTTTAACCAAAAGAGGAAGTCACAAAGCCCAAAACATTGCTTGTGAAGGATTGATGTACAACTAGGACAGAATTTGACTTTGATCCAAATGATATTTCTTATTGCGTTTATATCTATATATATGTATACATTAAAAGTCTGTAAAATAATGTATTATGCCATGTGCTCCTCTCACTGAATATATTTTCCTGCTGCTAGTATCAATTCACGTGTGATGCTATACGATCACCTGCTAGTCACTAACCCTATCTTAGAAAATACTACTTCTGGTCCTTAAATATAAGAGATCGTTTAGATTCTATTTTAGTCCTAAATATAAGACCTTAATTCACTTTATTTTTCATATTTATTTATTTTTTTTCCTAAGGTAGTCCTTGTAATAATAGTATTCTAGCCAAATATACTTGATTAGCAAAGATATTTTAGGAAAGATAACACTTATTTATTACAAATAATTAACTTAACTAGTTTTCTTAATCTATTCAAATTAGTCAACTAGCTCTTATATTAAGGACTGAAGGTAGTATTTACAATAGAAGCAAAGATATTCCCATACTTCCCCTCAAGTTGGATGTTATGAGGTATGTAACCTGGATTTGGGAATATAGGGAAGGAGGAGAGAAAGAGAGGGAAAACAGAGGAGAAGAGAGAAAAACAGGGAGAAACAGCGAAAGAACTGAAGAACTGAGTCAAACTGAGTCAAACTGCCGTATTCATTCAAACGGTCATAGTCTACAAACGACTTGAATGGTTCTGTTTATAGAAGCGTTAATATCCCCTTCCAATGGCTAACTAAGTCCTGAATATATTTATATTATTGTTATGATTATATAACATTGGATCATAGTTATTGATCATAACCAACTTGCTTATGCATTCGTCAAAATTTTTTGTTGGAGGTCCCTTGATGAGAACATCATCAACTTGTTTCTTTGTTGGCACGTACATTAGGCACATTATTCCTTGATGAATGTTTGTCGACTCTGTCTTCTCTTTTACTGCATGTGGGGGCTCTATTCTTGCAATGCAATCAAGAACCCATCGAGGAAGCCATTGCTTTAAAAGTTTAACTTGTTAAAATCCCACCCTCACAAATGAGTTAGGAAATCAGCTACTTCCGCTGCTAAATCACCTGTAAAACACAGCTGATTAGGATAAATATACAAGGCCCAATGATTTTTAGCTTGATTGGCTTCCAAGCCTTTTTCTCATCTCATCTTCGATTGTGTGACTTGGCTGTTCCATACAGAAGTAAATATATTATGTGACATTGGATCAGACACTCTTTTCTCTTTTAAAGTCAAGTTACATATAATTACCAAACTGGAAAAACTCTATCCAGATCAATAGTTCTAACGGAGGCCTAAAACTAGACCTTTTTTTTTTTTTTTTAAATATCGTCATATAAGCACTCAACGTTTGTCATGTGAATGTGAATGTGTTTGTGTGTGTTCTCTATTGATTGTACATGATCTAATAGATGTCCTGTGGCAGTCCGCAAAGCTATCCACTCGATGATCATATATAGCAAGTTTGTATTAAATTCTTATATCTGACTTTATTGCAGGTTTGATGATTTGTATGGAAGGGATATACAATTGGACAGCAGACGTCATTTGCTTGCAGATACTTTTTCTTCTTGCAGGAGAATGTTGCTCCTTCATCAGTTTTATTCATATTTAAAAACAAAAAAAAGAAAAGGAAACAGAGAAAACTAACCAGTTTGATAGTCGATGTCACAAGAAGAGAAACGATTGGTCCATCAGAATATTGTGGTGCAGCATGCTACCATTTAGAGGGAAAGAAGAATAATGGCAAGGACAAATATGTTAGAGAGGCCGAAGAAAATTGCATTTGAGGAGGATAGCTTAGAGAGTTCATACATTAATTGCATTATTAATGATTGTTAATCTAATCCATGTGTATTAATTGTAGTTACATTCTTTCTCATGTAAGTCATATTGAATGGTTCCCTGGCTGTCCTTTATATTTAAACCCTTTGAAGAAATCAAATATATGATCATAGCATAGCTTACTTAGCAAAGAGGAATTATAGCTCTGCATGAATGTTTTTGCAAGGATAAAGTATGAATACTAATTCAAAGAACAAAACAATGAAGACTATAATTTGAAGTTCTGTCCAATAATGCATTTTGATAATTTAAGAGACTTGAGTCTTTCTAGGCTTTGTAAAAAGGAGATGTTATCTAATAGCCATTTATTTAAAAACAGGCGTCGTAGAATATTGTTTGCCACTGTCCACAGGAAGTACCCTTGACCATTGCAGAATTGATTGTTCATCAGAACTCTTTTCATTTTCAAGAACCAACACTATAAGCTTCATCGTACTTTCAAAAATATCATTGGTTACATATATAGGTGTCTCAAACTTCGTTGAGATGAACAGAAATTCAAGTTAGGGACACTCCAGCTTACGTGAAAGTCTGTCCATTTTATTGATCCATAAATATCTTTCATGTCCAGTAACCAATTTAATCTGTTTTTCAAGCTTAATCTCTTGCAGCAAAACAGTCTGCTTCTAATATAACCATTTCTCAACATCATTGACAACCCTTTGAATTATTTTAATTCAAGTTTATAAATTTATTTAACGTATATATAACTTAGTTAGTTAATTCATATCCAAGGTGAGATTTATTCGCACTCTTAGCTCACACCACCCACCTCCATCAATTTTTCCATAAGTGATTGAACAACCGAATTATTTGGATTCGATTCTCATAGAAACAATTTTGAGAAACATACAAACATTTCTATGAGCAAAGGATAGCTTGGGAAAATTTAGTACAAGTGGATAGCTCAAATAAGCTATCAACAGTATTACAGCGCACATATCCCACAACAAATAAATAGTCCAGTGATTATTAAAAACCTCTCAAACTTTATTTGGTCTTTCAAAATAAGCAAAGGAAGCATTATTAGAGATTTCTATTAGCAATGTTTTGCTCAAACTGGCTTCCTAGGACTGACCATTTATGATCAACCTGAAACAGTTGTTGCCAGGACTTTCTTTCATCTTCTGCCATCTCGGACTTCTCTTTCCTCACAGTCTCGAACTCTTTCTTAACTCTACTGTTTCTACAATATGTTTCCTCTTCTGCTCTTGCAGAGAAAATAATTCAGCCTCACAATCCTTTTTCACTTTCTCCAACCTAGAGATCTGCTCCTTCAGCCTAGCTTCGTTCTCTTGAGCTTCATCCATAAACTTCCGGGTCTCGGACATTTTGGAAACAAGAGCAGGGGCAACCTCCTTTCGTTGAGTTAGCTCCTCCTTGATCCTCTTATCTCTTTCTTCAAGCTCTGCAAATTTATTAACAGTAGCAAATGCTTGCTTGAAAGATGACAGAATGTTAGGCAACTCTTTGTGCATAGACTTTATTATAGCCATAACTTCATGGGATAGAGCTTCATCTTCCAAGGAAAGGCGAGACAAGAAGTTGAGAGCTGTTTGAAGGCGAAGACTATTGTCCTCTGATGTTGCTATGTCCTTAAGAGGCATCTTCAAGTAGTCTTCCAAGTCACTAAGGGCCTTTGCAACAAGCTCATCTTTAGCAGCAGCAGCAGCAGCAGTAGGAACAGATGATGATGTTGGTGTTTTACCACTATAATCATCCTCCATGGATTGAAGCATGTTGATGAGATCATCATCTTCCAAGTCTTTAAGATTTGTCACAGGAATCACCTTCCCATCCTCTTCAACATCTGATTTCCTTGTGTTGAACTTGATTTGACCATGAATCTAAGAATAAAAATTGGATTTGAAAAACAGCACACGAGTCCTAAGCTACGACAATATTTTCCATTATGCTAGGATAAAAGCTATATATACAAGTATCTTAACTTCTTTTCAATAAAAGCTATGCATATCTCTTGCTTGATTCTCATACTATTGCTAGCAATTGTGTAGCACAAAATCATAAATCATGACTATACATAACACTCAGAAAATTTGATAATTCCCACAAAAGGTATCATTATATTTGGACCTTGAAAAGCAGATAGCTTACATGTGGAAGCGTGTTTGCCGAAGAAGTGACTAAGATGTCAGGCAGCGAGCCTGCTAATTTTGAATGAGTTGAAGGGGTAGTTATCTCAGCATTCCGAGATGATGGAGAACCTTCAATGCTTCCTTTAACATCCTGTAGAGAAATAAATTAAAACCTGTTATATATCATCTCACATATGAGTCTAAGCTTCAACAACATTTTCCATTCTACTAAGATATAAGCTTTATATAGAAGTCTTTTTAACTCATTATCAAACCATGTTTCATTTAAAAAGCTATATACATATATTCCACTCGATTCCCATATCATTGCTGGCAATTTTATAGCCACATGATCATGAATCATGACTATATATAATACTCAATAGTTTTATAAGTGCCAACAAAAGATATCACGTTTGGGCCAAGAAAAGTATTAGAAAGCTTACAAGTGGAATTGTGTTTGTTGAAGAAATGGCTAGGGTTCCAGGGAGCAAGCTTGCTAATTTTGAATTAGTTGATGAGGTAGTTATCTTAGCATTCTCAGATGATAGGGAACCTTCAAAGCTTCGTTAACAACCTGTAGAGAGATAAATTATGATCTGTGAGTTTTACAGTATTTGAATGAGTTTGTAGAGAGTTGAATTTTATCCCCTACATTTTCCCTTGATACAGTTTCCTTTTGAGCACTCTGAACTTCTAGATCTCTAATAATCTGCATCACCCAAAAGAAGAAAAAAGGGAGAATAAGTTGCTCCATATATATGAATGATGTTTGCATTACTTTGATTTCATGAGGAATTTCATTTTTTGTAATTCCAATTTTTTCAAGTGATTGTTGTTGGTCCTTCAAATCCAATTGACTGGTTGATATCGTATTGACCAACTCCTTATATATAAAAATCAATGAACATATAGTCAAAATCAAATAGGTTAGTCTACTTATTTGCAAATACTCTTGTAGTCTGAGAGGCTTTTATGACACTTACAGTTTCATCATGAGGCGTTTTAGGCAGAGATATATCTATAGGATTACTTGTCAACGGCTTGCTAACTGATTGAGGAGGTAAAGATGAAGTTGGCATTACTGCAGGTATCTCTGAACCGGGCATTATTTGATTGATACTCTGGGACAGCATATCCAAAAATACGTAGTTAACTAATGTCACAAGCAGAAAAAAAGACAATATTAGTGCAAGATGTAATATAGTAAGATAGTGAGGTTGACCTTGGTTGAGCTTTCCGGTTCTGAATGAGCTAATGAAGTAGATATCTGAACATTTTCTGATATAGTACACTCTTCAGCTCCTTCAACATTCTACACCACATTAGAAGATAGTCAATATTGACTGAACCACTTGCTTAACATGTCTCGTTTTTGCGCACTTCCATCTTCTGACTCTTTCTTGTTTTGTATGAGTGAATAAATGCATTCTATATCATATATTATACATTATGATGTCTATCAAGCATGAGCAGGACCAAATCCAATAGATATAATGGATTTGCTGGGCATTCAAATAAGAGATGGAAGACATATGCGTACCTGTTTCAAGTTTGATGAAGTAATGGACGTCAATCCTTGGTCATTCCTCTGGTCTCCAATTTCTTGACAACCAATTTGTTGGGTGATTTCTCTATCAGAATCATTCGTGGATTTGATAATATCACTCAACCCTCCCATAATGTATCATACTCGAGAGGATTCCTATCATATCATTAATGCCAAATAAATTATTTAAAATAACAATTGTATGTAAATAAATTATATCCATTTGAAAAAAATTATTTGAAGTATATAAAATATTAATGTTCATTATTATATTCAAATATACAAAATACTTAATTTTAAGCACTTGAAGAATGTGGCATGCAGAAAATATTATTAAACTACATCCATATATTAAGTTTAGAAAGATACCGAGGAGTAAGAATTCATCACATATGGTTATATATCTTGTCGACAAAAAATGTGCAAGTAATATAAATGTGTGTATGTGTATATATATTGTAGTACCTCCAGATAGTTTGTCAAGCATTTCCTGAGGAGTAACAGAGGAAGAGAGATAGATAGTTTGGACATCGTTGCACAATAAGGTGCCTCAAAATTTGCAAAGCGGGGGATGGATTGACCGAAGTGAGTGAGGGAAGGTTCCGAAGGACAACATATTCTAATTCCAACAGGAGTGGCAGCCTCGTATGTGTGTGTTGTGTCATGCTGTTCATCTCCAAATACTTGCTAAGCACAGATGTATCTTCTATGTACAATACCTTTATATTTGGAATCAGTCGACATGCAAAGATCTTAGGGAATACGCATTTCAACTTATGGCAACGTTTGATGTAGATTGAAACAAGTCATGGGAAGAGAGGTTTCAGAGAAGTCGACACATTTTGATCATCTTCTTCAATGATTTCCTCCAACTCATTACAGTCTGTAATGTCAAGTTGCCTCAATTGTACGAGTTCTTTCAAGATGCATGAAGGGAATACTTCTTTCAAATTTCCACAATTGGATAGCTTTAACCACCGAAGATGTTGGAGGAGTAAAGAATTTTTGGGACCCCTCCATATATGCCTCAATTTGGGTAGATCATGCAAATGAAGGTCACCTAACCTCAAGTTTACTTGTTGTCTATTGATAGGAAGCTTTCCGACATCAAAAACAACTTCTACTTCATCAATATTATGAATAAATAGGTACTCTAAAGTTTCTCGTGGGGCCACAACCACCTTCAATAGGTCCTGTAGAAGTGAAAAAGAAATCACATTAAGCAATTAAAATTTGAAAAATTATTGTGTACTAGACAATTAACAATTATCATTGTGAAAAACTAGATAAATGCACGTGTTGTAATTATATAAAATAATATGGCCAGAGAAAGTTTCCCTCATGTACAATTGTGAATATATAGGATGATAATATATAGATTTAATATTTTTTACATTGATGATGATAGATTATACGAATGGTTTGATAATATTAGAAATAGAGAAATAGTACCTCAAAAGACCTTGATCGTCCTCCTGTCTCAATTCATCATACAATCACAAATGATTGATAGACTTGGCATATTAAACCGCGGACAATTTGTCAACCCCAGCGCTTCCAAAGAGGGCCATGTTGGATGATAATTTCTAGGACAATACTAATGATATTTTGCATGTTTCCAAGTTGAAGAATCTTCAGAGCAGAAAACTCAATTATTTGAGGCTATTCAGATTCAAGCCTTCATAAGGAGCTTGCCCAAACAAACTTCTCAATTCATCATTTCCATATACATGTAAATATTCCAAATGTGAAAGGCTCTTTGTGAAAGAGATAGGCATTAAGTATTCTAGTTGCTTGCAATTGCCTGTTTAAGTTCTTTCAATTTGGGAAATGCATTTTCGTAATTCTGATATTCACTTCCATCAACTATTCCTTCACATCTTCTGTCAGTATGTGCTCAAGTGAATCACAACTTTCTATACAAAGTCTCTCCAAGTTTGCAAAAAGGCCATGTGGAGGATGACCACTATGCAAAGTTTTCAAATGCTTCACCTTTGAAGAGTTAGATGAGTCAATTGGAGATGATTCTGACTTGACTTGAATTGGTTGCATGGCCTATCACGCATTCTATCCATCTGAATCATGAACAGCAAGACGAGTCAACTCATTCATACTTCCTTCTATTGTTTGACACAGGTCAGGAATGATATTTTTCCAACTTCTAGGGATTCCTCTCAAAGAAAG